TTGGTCGCGGGGGCGGGGGGCGGGGCCTAGGAGGAGGGGGCGCGAGCAGGCAAAGGTACCGTTCAGGCGTCTTCCGGAATGTGGGGGTGCAGCTCCCAGAATTCCAAGAGAATCTTAAGGGTGTGCTGGGAGTTGTAGTCTTGTGTGCCTGGAGGGAGTCAGGTTTTTGCAATCCGGATCCTGCAAGGCCTCCAGTAGCTTTCTCTGAATTCCTGCTCCAGTCCAGCTCCAACCAGGCACCCTCCAGACTGTGGAGCGACAACTCCCAGAATGCTAAGGGGATGCTGGGAGTTGTAGTTTTGTGTATCTGGAGGGAGCCTAATTTTTGTAGCCTGGACCTAGGTTTCCCCTGAATGCCTGCTCAGCTGCATCTCCAACTGGGTGCCCTCCAGACAGTAGAGCAACAATCCCCAGAATTCCAAAGGAATCATAAGGGGGTGCTGGGAGTTGTAGTCTCACATGTCTGCAGGGGCCAGATTTTTGCAATCCAGATCTCCAAGGCCTCCAATAGCTTGTCCCTGAATACTTGCTCCGCTCCATCTCCAACTGGGCACCCTCCACAATGTAGAGTGACAACTCCCAGAATTCCAAGGGAATCCTAAAGGGGTGCTGGAAACTGCAATCCCACATGTCTCAAGGTCGACTGGTTGGAGATAGAGCGGAGCAGCAATTTGGGCGAAAGCAATTGCAGGCCTAGCAGATCCAGGCTGCAGAAATCCAGACTGCCACCAGCTGGCAGCATAGAGCTACAGGAAACAGGAACCCTCTGCTGCCACTTAGGGGGCCCTGAATTTTTCCAGCTCAGATCTGGCGGGCAGAAGCTGGGGAGGCGGGCATTCGAAAGATGGCAAGGAAGGAATTACGATGGGTGAGTGGGTGGAAAAAGCACTGAAGACGGCCTGAAGTACATGTGTGGGCAGGCTGGATGTAGCGCAGGGATTCAGATGAGAACTGGCAAACATAGGACCTGATGGGCAGAATTTAAGCATGCAAGGATTTACAGCTTTCCGGTTCTGACCAGCCTTAACCTGCAATAATTGCCCTCGAAGTCCTAGAACCCACAACATCCAGTTTGCAACCCTAGAGGCCACGGTTACTTTAATTTATTTTACAGTTTCTACCCCACCCTTCTATTTATTTATTCATTTTCATGCCCTCGCACTCTGCCTCTTCACAGTGACATTCGGCACCTTAGGGGACAGGAAGCTAAAAAAATCCCTAAAGTCGCTGTAAAGCCCACCCACTATAACTAAAACCATAAAGGCTACCGATAAAACCCCTTGCTATTGCTAGGTAAGATCTTCCTACCCGATGTAGATTTCAGAATGGATAACCAAATAATGCAATGTCATTGCTATAATGGGAGTAGGGTACGATCCCAGGAAGACTGGGATCACTTTGAGACATCTCTATATTTTTCTTGGCGACGACAGGAAAATATGCAGTTTGCTATTATCTTCAAGTTTTTCTTTTTCAATTTGCCTGTCTAGCCCACATGGTGGCCTTCCATCCATGTACTTCCAACCTAGATGAGGCTGGCCAGGTGCTATCTTCTCCTTAAATATTTCGTGTATATTTTACTTATTTGTATTCAGATTTCTAGCCCACCTTTCCATCAGGAGTCCCAGGCAGCCGAGAAGCGGCCACCCTACCTTCTCTTAAAAAAGGGGCTCCCCAATTGTGGCACCAGCACCAGACAGGACCTGTCCTACATCTTACAGCCAAACATAAAGCACTGGATGGACAAGTTCTTGCAGGCAGGCAAGTCTTCAAATATCTTTTGAAAAGGTTTGAAAAGCAAGGAAGAGAGGTGGGGGGAGGGAGAAATTTTACTGGCACCTCGATGGTACTAAGTTTCATAGTGGGAGTGAAGCCATGGGGAAAAAATGCCTATTTGTGGAGCCCCTGGTGCTCTCTGAGCTTGGTTTTTTGCTTGCGGACGTTTCATTACCTGACTAGGTAACACCATCAGTGCCAGTGAGGGTGGGGTTTGCTCTCTGCTTATAGGAGTTTGTACAGAAGGATAGTTGCTCCTTGGTGGAGGGTTTAGAAATAGGCAGGTCTCCCACAACGAGCAACTA